CTATTTTGAGTTACCCATGATTTGTTGGTTTTATCTATTTTTCCTTTTATTCAACATTAAATACATTATTGTGCAGAGGATTCTATAAGCTCCCAGTCTCTGGAGTCACAACAAGTTATCCAAAATTCTATGGATCAGACACGTGTTTTTCCAACAAATGTGCATGATGATATGATAACTATGCTAAATGCTTGTGATGATATAGACCAAACAATGTTTTCCTTGGAGAACATTAGAGCGTTTGAAGCTAAATACGAACAAGCACTGCTTGATACTGACTTGATAAGGAATCCATCAAACGCTTCCAATAATAGAATAGGATCTTCACAAGGACAACTTCAGGAACTAAGAGACAATATTCAATTAGACAATCTTCAAATCCTACTTTGTTATTACCTCAAAACTCTTCAATTATGATGAGCACAACAGTTCAATTAGGGAATGTTAATCAATGGGATCCATAAGTACCACATGGTGTTTCATTTGGCAATTCCATGTTTCCAAACGTGATGGGGGGATTCACTCAATATTCAGTTTCAACCATACTCATCAACACGCCTCCCAATGTTTCCTGATGCTAGTGCTAGTAGTAGTCAACATAATGTTGGAGGACCAAGTGGAAGTTTTTTAGAGCAAACTACGAATTTTGAAAAATATGTATAGACATGGGAGGTAAACTTCATTAGTTTTAATATTTGATGAAACACCAACATCATATGATAATTGCAAAATCTGGAAATTATCCATGTCCTCTATTTATCTATTTATATATAAGAAAATATAACTCTCCTTTCACATGAGGTAACTTCTCTCATATTCTTTAACTTCGATTTGCACACTCTACCTTTTTTTTTCTTGTAATGGTAAGATCAATCCATTTTTTCTCTACAGCATAAGATAACTATCTTATGTGAAAAGAGAGCAGTAAAGCCATATATATATATATATATATATATATATATATATATATATATATATTAATATATATATAAGTTTGCATAATAATTGGCCATATGTTACTTTATTTGCTAACCAATGGCTTCCTAGTTGCTAGATTAAAAAAAACACAACTTCGAATTTCTTATGAAGTAGAAATACCTTATGCATCCTTGCATAAGTCTTCGTAACGACATCTTTACATTGTTTACATTAATTACATATCACTTTTAAATTATTTTTATTTTAGTTTTAGGGGAAAATATATGGTTGGCAGAAATTGGGTTAGTCAAAAAAAAAAAAATATATATATATATATATATATAGGGCAGGATATTTTAACATCAGTATCAAAATTTAATTTTGACACCAAATCTTGACCCTTCATTTTAATAATATCTAGCAGCTTTTAATAGTTCAGGTTTAACTATCACGTGACTTCACTCTTTTGATTTTTATTTTCTTCTTTCATCTTCTTCGTCGTCTGCTGCGCGTCTTTCCCTCTTCTTTTCTTATTTTTTTTTCTCTTACTTCTTCTCCCTCATCTGTAGTTGTTGTTCACCTCAACCTTCTTGGAGCCCCATTTCAAATTTTGTTTTTACCCTCATGTGTGCACACCATGGTAAGACCAAGGTGCTTCCCTTAACTTTCAGCTTGTATATAAGATGTTGATGCGTAAACTCAGAGATATTAAATAAGGGATAGGTTATTCTACCTACTCCCTTCTTGCCTACCTTTTGCCTACCCCTTTCATCACCGTTGGATCACAATCTAATCCAACGATTCATAATTGCGAAATAAAATAACCCTTTTTTTTCCTTCTCTCTCCTCACTTCCTCCCACATCCTTTCTCTCTCCTTCCCTTTCTCTCTTCCTCAACGCTGTCCTTTTTTTTTCCTTCATCGCTGGTGAATTTGATTTAGTTTCAGTTTGTTCTATGTTGCTATCACTAGAGAGATCAGACGAAATTGTGGAAGATTGTGGATCAGAGGATGGTTTATTATCAACAAGATCTAAACTTTTATTCAACCGACCTTCATGTGTAGAAGTAGGAGAGACTGAAAAGTCGAACTTCTGCGAACTACCCATACCATAAAAATATCCATGAACCGTGGCACCAATTGGAGATGATACAAGAACCCAGGAAGCATAGAATCTTAATATAATCAACAAATTCAGCAACCAGGAAATAAATTCAAAGAAAATAAACTCAGAAAAGGGTATTTAAAAAAAGAGTTAGATTTTGTTGGTTTACCTCTATTGGAACCGAATTTGAAGGGCTTTATGATATTTTTAAAAAAAAGTGTTGGGTTTGGTCATGGCGCTCTATGGTTCCCAAAACGAACCCATGAAACAAAAACGCAGGGATTACGCAGGGATTCTTCAAGCAAAATTGAAAGAAATTAGATGAATTGTTGTAAGATAGTGGAAAAATTTTAGAACTGAAAAAGATTGGGAATTGGAGCAGAAAAAGTTGGGAATTTGTACACTGAAGAAGATAAACAACTGTTTGAGAATGAGTTTGTTCGTACAAAAATCGTGGATATCTCCGAAAATAAAAATGGAAGCGTGTCGATTTTGTTCACATGACCTCTCTGCCTTTCTCTTTTTCCTTTTCTTTCACGGTCCTACTGTATAGATAGCTCAAGTGCACGCACGCCGAACAAGCATGTTCTTATTATTTAATGATTCATTTGCCTATGTTTATAATTTCAAATGTTGTGGTCGATAAATCGCATAATGCTTCCGCGCGCGTTCACTTCGGCAGAGATCAGAGATAAAGGAAAAAAAAAGGTATCGAGAGATCAAAAGGATGTGTCCGGATCACAGAGGAAGAGAGAAAGGGGAGGAGAGAGAAAATGTGTGGGAGGAAGTGAGGAGAGAGAAAGAAAAAAAGGGTTATTTTATTTCGCAATTATGAATCGTTGGATTAGATTGTGATCCAACGGTGATGAAAGGGGTAGGCAAAAGGTAGGCAAGAAGGGTGTAGGTAGAATAACCTATCCCATTTAAATAATGCTATTGTGACGGGAAATGATCTTTTTTCTTTTATCAATGTTTTATCCCATTGGGTTTTCCTGGTTAGTTTCTTAATGAGACAACTTCTAATACATATTACTATAGTAAAAATATGTGTCATTTTAATAGATGTAAAGTTGTCATCCTAAGTGAGAGAAAGAGATAGATCATAAGGGAAAGAGTGTGGAAAAAAAAAATATAAAGGTGTGGATCCCACCTCTTTATGAGAGTAAAGTGAAATAAGTTAGGTCATTAAAGGAGAAATTTTCCTAATTACTATGAGTAAATCCTATTTCCTCCTTATTACTATGAGTAAATCCTATTTCCTTTCAATAGGATTTTTTTTTTTTTTTGGATAACATTAAGGGGCGAAGCCCCAAACAAAAACAAACAAACAACCAGAAACAAAAAATAACTATCCAGGGTCTATATCCCTACAAGAGGAGATTCCCTGAAGATCGTGATCAAATAACTGAGCAAGGTGAAACGACATAACTCTATGACTCCAGAATCCAGTATCTTTGTGAAGAGCAGACTTGGCTAACCAATCTGCACAGGAATTAGCTTCTCTTGGAATATGAGAAAGCGTTACTTCCCAATCCTGACCGATGAGTGCTTGTATCTTAGCCACTATACGAGGCTGACAAGCTGCATTGCAATCAGCAAGCAAAGAGAATACTTCAGAAGCATCTCCTTCTAGTTCCACCTTCTTAAATCCCAGTTGCCAAACCAATTCCAGACCTTTTAGAGTTCCCCAAAGCTCCGCCATTAAAGGAGTGCAAGCACCAATATGATACTCAAAGCCTCCCAACCAAGAGCCATCATCAGATCTGATAATCCCACCACAAGCAGCCACCTCAGTATTCCTTTCAACTGCCCCATCAATATTAATCTTCACCCAATTTAGCCTTGGAGGTTTCCATAAACTCATACGAGTTGGATGAATGCTAGTAGTAGCCATAGCCTTCCTACCCATGCAGTTACGAACTTCCTCTATATACATAGCAATTATGTGCGTTCCATGGGTTGGATGCTTGAAGTTAGTATCATGGACACTTTTGTTCCTCCATCCCCAAATGAACCAGCAAGAGATAAAAAAGACATCACGCCAATCATCTGAATTACTTTGATTCCAAGCTTTTGAGATATTATTTTCAACCCAATCTCTAAGATCCAAGCTGTAGAATAAGCTTTGCCGATTAGCTGAAACCAGAGAATTCCAAACACTTCTAGCATGCTTACAATCTCTTAGAACATGGAGATTTGTTTCCAACTCACCAGGACACATTTTACAATGACCAGATTCCCCACTCCATCTAGATGTGCGGTCTTTAGTAAGAAGACGACCATGCATTATGATCCACATACAAGATTTAACACGTTGAGGCCCATGCCATTTCCATATGGTAGTCCAAGAATTTTTCAACGGCATGAGAGGGAAACCAAACATGTTATAATACGCGGTTTTAACTAAAGAGCAGCCAACATTTTGATTTCTCCAAATAATGCGGTCATTTCCATCCGATGCGCTAGGAATGAGAGCAGCTTGGATCCTTGCAACATATAACAACAAGTAACATTATTGGACTATCTAAAGGAAGTAATTCTAAATTGTAACTCCTGAAGAGAAGTAATTCTGATCATTAACCTTGTCTTGAGAGACTATAAACAAAAACATGTACAAAGCTTCACAACATATTACAATACAAAAAGAAGTTATTCCTCTATCTTTCCTTGTGTCCCTGTTTTTCTTCCTGTTATTCTTTTCTAGTTAGTTACTTTATTTTTTGTTTATTTTCTTCTTGTAACCTTTTATTTTAGAAGAATTCAAGGTTTTGTTCTTTTTTGTAAAAAATACGAAAACAAAAACAATGGAATGTGAGTGAGAGTTTATACACGAAGCTTATTGGCCTGCTATATTTATATTACATTTTTTTTTTATCTTTATCTGAATTTTCTAGTTCAACTACAACACTCCAATTGAACCCCTTGACACAATTGACCAAATCTTTTGAGAGACACAAACACCATTGTTATCCCATCACATTAACCTCCGCGAAAGCAGTTAGCTGGTCTCAATCAAACTGTTTTTTCAATTTAAAATCAGAGAAGGTGGTATTTCCCTCTCGACCTTCAATGCGTAGATTCACAACTTCACATTCACACACCAAAAACACATAACCCAACAAATCTCAAGTACAAACCTTTTACACTCTCGAACCTCAAAAACCCAAAACGTTACATATCCCAAAACTCCGATGAAACGAAACTACAGTTCCCACCACAACCCACCTCGCAAATGGATCATCATTCCCACCCTCACAATCTTCCTCCTCTCAATCTTTCTCCTCCTCCTTCATCACACCAACCCCACTTCCTCTTTTTCTTCTTCTTCTTCTATGGAACACTCCAATTTCACCACCCATTTGGAACTGGGTCTTCCGAAACTGCCCAGATTCGCGTATTTGATGACAGGCACCAAAGGGGAAGGACTGCAACTCAAGAGGCTCGTTCAAGCATCGTACCACCCAAGGAACTACTACCTTCTGCACCTCGATCTCGAAGCTTCCGATGCTGAGAGACTCGAGCTTGCAAAGTATGTTAAGTCAGAGAGTGTGTTTGGGGCGTTTGGGAATGTTATGGTGGTTGGTAAGGCTGATTTGGTGACTTACAAGGGCCCTACCATGATCGCTTCAACACTTCACGGGGTTGCCTTGTTGCTGAAAAAGGCTAAGGACTGGGACTGGTTTGTTAATCTCAGTGCCTCTGATTATCCTCTCGTGTCACAGGACGGTGAGTGGAATTAGCATGTTTGTTTTGTTTTGTTTTGTTTTGTTTTATGTGTTTGTGGATGTTAGGAATGTGTTACGATCCAATTGCAAGGCATGAGGCTTGAAGTCCCATTCGGAAATGTAAGGTTCCGTATGGGGTTTAAATAGACTTTGGACTGTCCTATCTCACAAGCTAGCTTTTGAGGGGAGACTCTTCCAAGTTGTATCAGAGTGCCCTAGTAATGAATGATGATCTGATTATGTTTGGACTTTTTTGGAAATGGATTCTCACGTGTGATTTTATATGACCAAGTAATGTAAAAGATTTTTATCTGTTAGACAGAAAAATTATGGGTTATCTATTTTTCCATTTTGTATTTCAATATTTTTTAATATTTTGTGTCTTATCACCAGTGATTTGTTTATTAAAGGTCAAGAATCTTTTACATGACCTGCTCATGTGAAATCACACATTAGAGCATTCAAAGTTCTAACTAAATTTCGTGTCTATTCACATATTTGAATAGTTTTCTAACTAAATTAATAAATATTAGAGCTAGAACTAGTTAAAATGGCCTGCAATTCCCTTTTTGCTATGCCCGGGAATGCGAGGATGCTACAGCCAACTTATATACTATATACTCTCACTTTTTAAAATTGTTTTGTTTTTGTTAGAGACTTCACTACTCTTAAAGGGCAAAAAAGAAATGGGGTTCTAACAACCTTGCCTATGTGGCAAGGATAGTGGAGACGAAGGGAAAACAGCTAGAAGCAAAAGATAAAATATAAAATGGTTGGAAAGGAATGGGAGAGGGGATCTAGAAATTAAGTTTTGGGGTCTTTTAGCATGGAGGTTGCAGACCCTCAAAGTTCTATAGTATTCAGTCTTTGTTTTATCTTGTTTGGAGTAATTTGGTCCATTGTACTTGGGATTAATCTATATTTACTCGTAATATAATTTTCAGTTCATATCAATTAGTATTAGAACTCTTGATTTGGGAGTTGTGGTATCAGATTTAAAAATTATTACAGAATTTGGAAGGGAATAAACCTATTGGTGGCTGATCAACATTGAGTAGCATTTCAAAGTGGAAGGAACATATGAAGCTGAAAAGATCTTAGAAGTTACAAAGGCCCTGAAGGGGCGCTCGGATTTCGTACGACATTTGTTGTTTCTACCTGAACACTACGTGGTGGGACTTTTCCAACGGGTTGGGAATTATATCATTGCGATGATGAGACAGAAGTTGATCATTCTGAGTCAGAACCGAAGATGTAGAAGAATCCTTTATGGATGAGATGAAGACCATGGAGGTGCAATAGGTCTCGAAGATTGATGAGAATCTATTGGCTATAAAGCATGATAGCAGAGGGGAGAAGGTTGGAACAAAGAAGGTGAGAAAAATGCAAGGGAAGGTCATGGTTGTAGATGGAGACCAGCCACGAGGTCATGTGGGGAAAGAGTGGAAGAAACATGGGATCCCAATGAGAGAGCTAGGAGAAGAGCCTATGAATGCAAAGGAGGCATTTATGAAGGATACATGGGTATCAAGAACGCCACAACCACCGGGGATGGTGGCCAATATCACCACCATTTGTGGTGCCACCAGACAGGGACCTTCAAGGAGATGAATTGTAGATGTATCAAGGATGGAATTGGGTCAACTTACACAGCAGGCCGAAATTATCATCAAGTGGATGCATGTCCAACTCAATGGTGTTTTTTTTGTGTGTGAATGATGGGCTCACAAAACCATGATTACACTCAAGGAATCTGAAATGAAATCAAAGTTTGAACTCAATGCATTTAGGGAGCATGGACAAGGAATGACCATTAGCATTCCTCTTATGAGCTCCAATGCAGCAGTGCGAGGACAAGGACTCTAATGTCGGCGAATTGACGGTGGACAAAGAGTGAATTGCAGAGTCACGGTGTTCCCTCTTTTCCAAGACGAGGTAGAATGAAGGGTAATGATGCGAACCACGCTTAGAACAATGAGACTAGTTAACGGATTAAGGAGCTCAAGGATCATTTCTATATTTAGATTTTGGATGGGAAAATTGCGACCCGTTACCTATAGCAAGGTAAGAAACTTGGTATATTTATTTAGATTTTAGATCGTTTGGGCATATTGTTATGTCCTTCACTCGACATTGAGTCTTGCCTTTTCATGGATTTGTTTAACAAATTTAGCCTTCTTTCCAACATCTAAATTGACACCCTTAGACAAGGGTAAAAGAGATAAATCTAATGGAGTTAAGGGATTAAATCCATTCGTAATTTCAAAGGGTGAAAATTTAGTAGTAGGATGAATAGTACGAGTATAAACAAATTCAAGATGTGATAAACACTCCTCCCATATTTTTTGTTGTTTTTCCTAATGATAACCCTCAGCAAGGTTGACAAGGTCCTATTTACCCCTTTAGTATGATCATCAGTTTGTGAATGATAAGTAGTAGAAAATAACAATTTAGTTCCTAACTTACACCACAAGGTCTTCCGAAAATAATTCATGAAGAATTTTTCGTTCTGTCGTTACTGCCATATCCCATCAACAGTAATTGAAGCCAGAATAAGGGTCCCTCCTGGCACCAACAAGCTTTCACAACTTTACCTTAGGCGTCACTGCAGAGCAGAACAAGTTATCATACAGCAATTGATTTACTAGGTGCATAGTATTTAAATACTTGAACCAGGTGATGATGATCAATCCATTGAGGGCGATGTTAAATACTATTTACTCCACATACAACTGCTATTCCTTAATATCAAGGTGTGATTCATGATCCCATTGTCACATCACCCTATGATAATCAATTACACGTGGCTGATGGGAATGTTGTTTTTGATATTCATCATCTTTGCAAGGTGAATGCTGTTCAAAGGGAGTTTCACAAACCTGAGTTTAGGGACTGTCATAATATACAAAACTGGAGACCATGTGGGTGTTTATACTGAAGAAGCTGCGAAATTTATTGGGTCAGAATTTAGATTTGTTGTTTTCTCTTCACACTGAGAGTGAGGATGGCACTGCCTAGGTGGTTCTCTACTACCTATTTTCCCTGGTCTATGCATGCTGCACATTACATTAGCACGTTATGCACATAACTTGAACTCCCCACAAAAGGCTGCTTTAGTTGAATTAGCCACTCATGCTTCTGAACCTAGCAAGCAAAAGGTTTAAAGTTCCTTTCATCTCCTCAGGGGAAGGATGAGCACTCCAAAGTGGTGGTTGGAAGCTAGAGAAGTCTCCTTAAGGTGATGACTGAGTTTCCATTGGCGTCCAGCAGCAGAAATCACATAGGAGTATGATCAACATCTATGAAGAATGTTATTTCCTTATAGAAAAGTCGTGACTATAGATAGGTTCCTAAATTTATTAGGTCATCGGATTTTCAGCTACCAATTGATCATGTGATTCCTATTTTTATGATTGGACCCAGTACTGGTTTGGCACCTTTTAGGAGGGGGTTTTCACGAAAGATTTTCCCTCAAAGAGGATGGTGTTATTGAAATTTCTAGTGATATTTGAAGCTGATCTTTCTATTCCTCATGCTTTAGGGGAGTTTGTTGTCTCTGTTTTGGCAAATACTCTACAATGTAGTACTGAATTCAACTTGAAAGTTCTTGTTGCTGTTTTAATAAGATTGCTTCAGTCTAACTTGTAGATCACTATTATCAGTGCATTACATGTGTTGGAAAGTGATGCTGGAACTATTGAAGAAGAGCAATGGGATATTGATGGAAGTTCCTATGCTTCTTGCATAAGTTGACCCCTATATTTCAAGCAATGGGACCTCGGGGAAGGGTTTTTGCAGGCTGCTCCTCACCTTGAGTACAAGTTGAATGTTGCAGGGGGAGTATTGCTTGACACTCCATTACTCTTAAGGGGAAGAAAAGGAATAGGGGTTGTAACAACCTTGTCTATGTGGCAAAGATAGTGGAAAGGAAGGGAAAATAATTAGAGCAAAAGATAAGAAGGGAAAGGTACAATGAAGAGAATACAAAAATTTAGTAAGTTTTGATGCCTTTGGATAGGGAAGTTGCAGACCCTCGAAGTTTTGTCGTATTTAGTCTTTGTTTTATCTTGTTTTAAGTGATTCAATCCATTGTGCTTGGGGTTAATCCTGAGTTCTTTGTAATATAATTTCCAGTTCCTCTCAGTTTTCAAAGCAGAACTTTACAAAAACGAATTAACAGAAAAGTCAACCTTAAAAGAAGTGAGCCTTCGATTCCATACATATAGGTTCAAAATATCATTGTCACAATGCTAAAATTTAAGCCCAAAATTACGTCGTTTTGAGGTTATAAGATTAAAACATTATAATAATAAAAACTAATATAACCCTGCAATAAATTATAATTACAAAAAATACCTTGATTTCCGCCATAAAACGATATCGTTTTGGGCTCATCAGAGATAACTTATCTCCGTTGACTGGAGAATCATTTACCCTTTGTTAATATGCTTCTATAAAGTAAAAGGGAAACCTGTTACTATAAGGGGGTGTTTGGTTCAAGTTTTTGGAGCTGATTACCGGTAATCCTTCTTTGGTAAATGTAATTACCACGTTTGGTAGAAGGAATAAATTGCGATTCCCGGATATCCAAGGATTACCGGTAATTTGATTTATAAAGAAAAGTCACTATTCAGATTACCAAAAATAATATGGTAATTCGGAATACCAATCAGAATACCAAGTAAAGGGAAAGTACAACAATAAATTTTGAGACAAAAATACTCCAATACACATAAAAATCTAGACTCAATCTATCAATTACAAAAATAAAAATTGTTTGGGGTTATTTTTGTAAAATAACCTCATATTCCAAGTCATATTTCGTTCTAAACCCAATATGGAATAAGTAATTTTTACCTAATATTCCCGGTAATATTTTGGCGAACCAAACACATCTTTCGTAAGATTCCAAGTAAACTCAATTTCTACTGAATTCCCATTAATCATGATTCCCGGTCACCAAAAAATTTCTCTTGTACCAAACACACCCTAAAGCTAATGTTATGCGCAGGGTTCAAGAAAGGGTCAGACACATAATGTGAATCTATGATAGGCAAACTTACCTTGCATTTGCAATATGCTGATTACATGATTAAAACCCATAACCTTCAGGTCACATGTCAATACCAACAATCATTGTGCCAAGGCTCCCCTTCTAGTATGCTTCTAAAAAGTAGAATCTATTTTCTTTCTTTGGGAGTAGGATTACATTATAATCCTATAGGAGAAATTTATAGCTCATTGTTTTCTATATATGGATACTAAAGAAGAGAAGTATTTTTTAGTTCTCATTTGATGATTCTATTTGACTTTGTGTTTGTATGTCAAATATATCAAATGATTACTTGAGTTTTATGGCTCTTGATAAATAAACTCAAGTCTGTTATTTCACAAATATAAATTTTGTTTATTTTGCTGACTATTTGCCATATAACTTCTTGCTACAGATCTCTTGCATATCTTTGCATTCATGCCCAGGGATATGAACTTCATTGAGCATACAAGTAATATTGGTTGGAAAGAGTGAGTATATTATTTATCCATTGATGTTATCTCAGTTTTTTACTTAGCTTTCGTAAATTCCTATATATATGTTTATGTTTTGTATACTTGTAATTTTGACTGTAATATCAGGTATCAAAGAGCGAGGCCTATCATTATAGATCCGGGCTTATATCATTCAAAGAAATCTGGTGTTTACTGGGCTAAAGAGAAAAGATCTGTTCCATCTTCATTCAAGTTATTCGCTGGTATTGCTTTTAAGATTTCTATAGCTTTGTTTTTCTCATTTACTCCCAAGTTCTAACATGTCCCTATTTTTTCTCTTTTTCTTTTTTTTAATAATATATGCTGCATAAGTTTCTCCTAATATAAATCCAATTCTGTCATATATGTTTCTCCGTTCCCTGTCATAAACATCAGTATCATATGATCATAATATGGCTCTTCACTGTGTGTTAGGTTCAGCGCATGCTGTTGTAATTTCACATTAATAGTAGCTATACAATACAACAATAGTGGATTTGGGATTGGTAATCTAATTAAATGTGCCACTGCATTTATACTACTTAATGGTCTAACACTCTAACTAACCGAAGTGATCTAAAACTTTATTGGGAAAGTTGTTGAAATATTGGTAGGGTCTTGCTACAAAGTTCTCAAGCGCTTAAGGGCTCAACCATTTCATTTACCAAATAAATAAGGTCGTTATTAGTTTTAAACATAAATTTGTCCCATATAATTTTACTTGACAGCCAATAGGAAGGCTAAGCGTTCAAACGCTCAACTGTTGCGTAGAAACAACACCCATATTTTTATTGCTTATTCAGATCATTTCGATCCATTTCACTGCTGACTTTCAAACATATCAACATTTTTTGTTCTTGGAGATTTATCCCCAAAAAAGATAATAATAAAAAAAAAGGTATTGTAGTCTACTTTCAGAGGGTACATAAAATCTTAAAAATTGTTTTTTAATTTTCTTTGAAAGATTGTAATGGAATTCTAAAGGGGGCGAACTGGAACAGTGGTAAAGTTGTTCCTTCATGACTGAAAGGTCATGTATTCAAATCCAGGAAATAGTCTCTTTGCAATTATGCAAGGGTAAGGCTGCATACAAGGATTGCCTCCACCCCACACTCGCTAGTCGGGTTTAACGGGAAGTGGTTTGTTTTGGTTTTTTTATTGTAATGGAATTCTCTGTTTAGCCATGGCTATATTTCTGGAAAACTGGACAACAGGTCTAGTTCTTGTTTGTAAATTATGTTTATTGTATAAACATAGGAAACATGCATGCTATACAGCATACTTAATGAGGAATTAAAAGTCCCATTAAAGTGTTCAACATGGATTTGTGCTCGGTCATTACTTACATGTAAAAATTTTAAATGCTTCTTAAATCGTTTAGCTAACAGTATTTTTGGTTTCCAGGCTCTCCATGGGTTGTGCTAACAAAATCGTTTCTTGAGTTCTGTGTTTGGGGTTGGGATAATCTTCCACGCACTCTCCTTATGTATTACACAAATTTTCTTTCATCCCCTGAGGGCTACTTTCACACGGTCATGTGCAATCACAAGGACTATCAAAACACTACTATAAACCATGATTTACGTTATATGAGGTGGGACAACCCACCAAAGCAGCATCCAGTGTTCTTGAACTTGGAGCATTTTGATGACATGGTCGAAAGTGGTGCACCTTTTGCTCGAAAGTTTACCAAGGATGATCCAGTTCTCAACAAAATTGACAAGGAACTCCTAAGAAGATCAGATGGTCACTTTACACCTGGTGGTTGGTGTGTTGGCAATCCTCTTTTGGGAAAAGATCCTTGTGCAGTTTATGGAAATCCAAATGTAGTTAAACCAACTTTAAGGTCAAAGAGGCTAGAGACACTAGTAGTTAAACTATTAGATTCTGAAAATTTTAGGCCGAAACAGTGTAAATAGCCTTCTTGCTTATACATAGTCTAATTGGCACTTTGTGCATCTATTCTAATTTAAAATTATAAACAGCTATAAGAAAGTTTCTGCAATGGTAATTTAAGTAGATCTTATCATGCTACGTTTGGAATGTAGAATTTCTTGAACGAACCTTTTTGTTTTCATGAGCTCTTGAAACTGTTTAATTTAGTTCCGTGTAATTAATTAATTTAAAAGGGGAAAAAAAAAAAATCAAACCTTAACCTAGAGAGGTGCCATTGCTAGCTATAGTCTGTACTCTCTGCTAGCTAGAAGTCCATTAACTTGGGTTGGTCAGATGATCAAGGATATAAAACAGAGAAAATAGGGTTAGAATAACAATATACACGTTATTGTTTTGGGGTTGGGAGAAAAAAAAAATTATAATAATAAAGATTAATATAATTCCAGAATAAATTAGAATTGTAAAATATATTTTTCCTAATTTCAAAATGATGTTGTTTTGGGGTCATATAAGATAAGTTATCTCCTCTCCTGTAACAAGAAAAATATTAAATTACACACACATATATACAGGGCAGGATCATTTGACACTGGTATCAAACTTTGAAATTTGACATCAAATCCTAATCATTGATTTTCTTCAATCAACGGTTATAATTTCTGTCAATCAAATTTATTAATTAATTATTAATTCTCAATAAATGATAACCGTTAATTGGCGAAAATTAACAGTTAAGATTTGGTGTCAAATTTCAAAATTTGACAGGTATCAAAAGATCCTCCCTATATGTTAACAACATTGTTTTAAACCCTTTAATTAAATTTTCTTTTTTCTTTTTCTACCAGCAAACCACCATGACACACCCACCACCACCACTACTGTGCAGCACTACCATCACTCCCCACCACAACCATTTGGCAGGAACCCAATCCCACTGCGCCATACCCACCATTGTCTCACCCCACCACCGCCGCGCTCCACCACATCCATTTGGCAAGAACACAAACCCACCGAGCCACTGCGTAAGTTCAAGTGGTTGGTTATTTTTGGTATATGACTTTGTTGAGCTTATCATGCCAATAATTGAGGATTTTAAGAGATTCTAGCAACTGCTTTGCATTCCCATTTAGTTAATTTTTAAAATTTTATTGTTACCCTTGAATTATAATATTTTACAGATTTAAAATTCTTCTTTCTGGGCACTCCCAATTTGTAATTATTGAAGACAATGATATGAGTTGAAGTTTAGAATATATAGATAGTATTGTTGATTTGGAGAAGGACACAAATGAATTTGGAAAAGATGATTTATGTGAAATATTGGCAAACAAAGATGGTGAATGCGAGGAATATAATATAGATGAAATTATGGGAGATGTTGATAGTGGATTAAGCTAGATCCTTATTTTAATTAGAGTTTTTGAGATATTAGAAGCCGCCTAATGCATGAATGTACTATTTACCATTCCTATCATACAACACATCTTTCAACCATTCTTCCTCAGAGAGTATGGTGAAACACACAAGGGGATTAACCTCAAAGACCATAAGTTTACCTTAAGTAGACTTCCTCCTTGCCTAGCTTTCTTGTCCAACAAGTAAGCCAACAAATCGCACTTTTTAAACAAAGATACCTACACAAAGGTCATGCATGTTTATAAATATCATGCATTCCACAATAAACAATCATCATAGCTATACAATACACACTAGAACATAAGCTTAAATCTCACCTTATTCTTGATTTAACAAGAACCAAGGTCTCCAACCAGCACCTAGGCCAATGTTTGACCTTCCATTAAGCAATCACCTTGCTTCAAGCTATACAACCAACCAAACAATAATCAACAATCAATTGGACCATCCAAATCTCACAAATAAATGAAATTTCAACACTTTCCATGTGTATTTTCGGCCAAAACCAAAAGTGACTAAACATATACATTTGTGATCCTTCCTTTGATATGATTCGCAAAATTTAACTCTACTTCTAAACGAGATCCAGCTTGAGTGCGTTCCTTTCACACTAAACATATACAAATATAATTCTGGGGATTGAAAAAGATTGTAGGCCTTGCAGACCATCTCGTATACCCTGATAAAACCCCAAGCATTCAGAGTCAATTATGATGGCGCCACGTTGATATGCGCTAGCAACTTACAAACAAAGGATGAAAATGGTAGACGAACTCCTAATGACAGAAAAAAAATGGGCATACATCATTATAAAGTGTATGGTCGATCCCTCCGCGCGCGATGAACTAACGCGTTCATTTAAGGGGACGACATCTATCTCCCACTTGTCATCATGAGCTTTCTCAGGGGTGATGTGGATGGCAACCTTTAATTGTGCCAATTCTTCTAGAGAGCTATATATGGAGGCGGTATCCAAAACAGTATCCGCCACCCAGCTCAGGGATTCTTCATCCTGAAGATTACGCTTGGCTGGGGATTCTTCAGGATCTATCTGTAGTGCTTTTTTCTTCATATTAGGATTCGGCTTTTGCTTCTTCTTATCACCAGCACCGCGCCTTGGCATGATTTCCTTAATTTTAGGCAAAACAAAATCTGATTCAGAAGAAGAGGAATCACTAGAGGAAGACGAGTTAGAAGAAGACGAGTTAGAAGAAGACGAGACAACAAATGTAGATTTATAATTGTCAAAATTCCTCTTCTTATAGGGATATCCCGTTGGGTATGTCACATTTAAGGGCAGGGGACTTGGACTCCTTTGACCACAAGGACTTCGCGCGATGGGAGAAGAAGTATCGTGCGATGAAATTGAAGGGGACGATTCAGGGTTTACTGTATTAACAGACTTATAACTACAATCAGAACTTGAATCAGAGTCACTCGAAATCAAAATGGGACTAGTCATTTTAAGAAAACTTTTGGAAAAAGTGATGAACTTTGTTGAGAAAGAGTTTTTGCATTTTCACGATTAGGTATTTGCGAAGACGAACCAAATTCAAACCGTCGAACAGAAGGCATACGGTTGTCATTAACGACTACTTTCTTCCGAGGAGTGGCACACTAGTCAGTAAACCATGCTTCCCCAGTTCCAAACAACCTCGACCTAGGTAACGACCTGGATGGGAAACTGGATGAGCCAGACCGCTCGGATAATCTGATAAAATTCACAAAATTGCGATTATCAGACATATCTTAAGCTCAAAGTACAAAAATAAAACAGATGGAGTAGCAAAACAGGACGAAGAGAATACCTGAGATTTATACTTCAGATGAACCAAACCAAGAGCAGGACGTGTTGCTGAGGAAAAAAGGATCTCTTACAGTCACGATGAAGTGTTTTCCCTCCAAACTGAATAGATCAGTACAAATATAAAACCTTTACCAAACGGATACTCAAAAGTTTAAAAACGTGTTGAGTAAAACAGATTAACAGGGACACGTGGGGGGAAGGTAAAACATTTACACTTCAAAACAGCCCACGGTTGCCATTAAACACCCACGTAATTGTGGTAGCATTAAATGCTTCTAACAGTTAACATCTAATCAATCATTTTTAAGCAGATAAGTCATGATGACTCTTCGATATGGTTATCGCGGCATTAAAATAATCGCGCTCAAGAAGATATATCGCGCAGAAATACATGTATATACCTCACAGCTTTGCCACATAACAAAACTGCGAGCTAGGGGGCAACTGATCTGGATAAAATATAGTAGGCCCGTTAGAGGCCCAAAGACATACGAACGAAGCCCAATCTCACGAAGGCCCAGAGATAGGCGCGATGTAGCCATCGCGCATAAAACGACGCGATGTACCCATCGCGCATGAAACCGCCCAATAGCATAACTTCAGAAGTAAGGAAGCTATCTCGAGAACTAATACGAACCCACCGCGCCTTTGTACTAATAAACAGAGGACAACACCAGCTCGCCGCTACTCTATCAAAGTAGCCTGGTTGTAAGAGATAAGGCTATTAAGGCTTCAGCCAAACCTGCAGCCCAGAAACGGCCAATCAGAGGCCATACCGCCTTCTGAAGGCGGCATCAGAACCACTATATAAACAGAGGGTACATGCCCAGGTATGATTATATAATTCAGTAAGAATACATATACACCTACAACTGATACTAACTTATGCATCAGAGTGTCATTGCAGGTAACCCCCATCCAGTCTCAACGATCGCGCCAACAAGGGACCGGAGTTCATATATCATCATTAACAAACATCCAATCCAAGAAGAAGAGCATCTTCATTATTTCAACCGTGTGTGATTAGGCCCGATATACTTTGGCCAGCCCATATTGTATTTGGTCTGATCAAAACTTTTAGTGAACGAGGTGGCTTTTTAATGCTACCAAGATCACATGGATCCCATTTTCGTTTATTTTTTTTTCATTTCCTGCCCATGCTAATAATGTTATCTTCTGAATTTTTCCCTGTTGTGATGCTTTTGAATGATGGATATAGGAGCAGTCATGGTTTGTCTCTCTGCTGGATTCGTTCATTCAAAAAGTAATAATAATAATAATAATAATAATAATAATAATAATAATAAGATATGCAATTTACAATTACTATTATTATTATTTTTAAATGTGCTTGATGAAAATATGATAGTTACAACGGGAGAAACATCTGCAGGTGGGTAAAAGGGGAGCTAATGGCGAAGGACCACCACCATTGGACTAATCTACACCAATCATAGCAAATGGGTCTGACACAATGTCTCAAGCCAAAATTCTAGGGCATTAGGTTCATGGATTCTCCTACTTATATGAACTTCACTTAGCCTATTATCAACCAATATGGGACTCCATTTTATGTGAATGTCCCAATAATCTCTCCCTCAAGGGTGAAACCTCACATTGGGAATCCTTAGTTATTTACACCGAAGTGGTGGTAAGGGATCTAGCTGCAAATATAATAATTTACATAGTAACCCTCCCATTACGAGTTACTTAGTAATGACTTACACTCTACCTATAGCCACATTTTATAAATAAAAAAATGATGCACAAGTCTCAAATAAATAATTTGATCACATTTAATAATGGTATAAATTGTGCTTACATCTTAAACATTAATTGACCATATTATTAGCCTATTTTT